CGGCCCACGTCTTCACGGAGCTCAACCGCGGCCTCTAAAGCGGACTGAACAAGACCGCGACCCAGGCCGGCTGGAAGGACCACATCCTGGCGTCCACGGCGTCAGAAGGGGGCAGCAAGACCGTGGTCAACTACTTCCAGCGCCTCGAGTTCCAGGATGGCAAGCGCAAGCTGGCCACCCAAGATTATCACGGCAGCGGGCGGGTCCATGTGCACAGCCTGGACTACTTGCAGAACGTGGAGGAGATCGGCCTGGAGCACAAGATGTCCGCCACGGTGCCGGATGCAGAGGAGCAGCCAGCACTGCGAGGCTACATGCTGGGCCGGCCTCATGGTCGCAGCGACAGTGGCTGGCCGGTGGAGGGCGGCGAGTCCCGGTATGACCCAGAGGACAAGATCGTCAGGTTGCACCACACTGAAGAGGACAAGGCGTCGGGGCATCGGGCTTTCTTCTCCGAGACGCTGGAGGTAACCAAGTGTCATCAGGACGTCCTGCATGGCAATGGCCAGGGCCTGCTTCTCAAGTATGTGGCGACCTACACACCCAAGTTCTCCGACAGCTTCGCCCGGGAATGGCTGAATGATGAGGCCTCTGCTTTCTCCGTGGCCCGCAGGGTGCTGTTCGATTACCAGCCCGCCGAACCGGAAATGTGGCTCTACCTCTGTGCGCAGCAGATGCCGCCTTGCCGCTACGGTGGCACCATGGTCCCGCTCATCGTGCCCTGGCCCGGTATGGAGACACCGCCGCAGGTGGTGAAGGCCTACGAGGACTCGGAATGGCGCCGCGAGGACATGAGTCTCCTGGAGTTCTGCCGCAAGACCAACAAGAACGGTCGCATCGCCCAGTGGGTGGTCAAGCTCCACAAGGCAGCGGGGGACGTGCAGCCCGCGGACGACGAGGCTACGAAGCTCCGAAAGCTACGCGACTTCGCGAACAGCTGCCCGATGAGCGGCGAGAAGCTGATGGCCTGCGACATGCCCTCGCTCTTCAACGACCGGTGGTTCGGGCAGTGGCTGGCTTTGCGACAGCCGTTCCGGTGCCTCGGCGACCTCATGCTGCCAGAAGTACAGGAGAAGGTGCCGCCCCAATACGTCCACTTCACCAACGCCGTGTTGCAGTACCCGGCATACTGGGAAGACGAGGAGCGTGTTCGCGCCGATCTGGAACTGGAGGCCATGGGAAACGGCAAGATCCAGACCTTTCTGGCCAAGGTGCTGGCACAGCGGGCATTGGTGGAGAAATTCCTCAGCGGGGAGCTCGCCAAGGAGGACGCTGATGGCACGCACGAGGCACTGCGCGAGGTGGGCCTGCTACCCGAGGAGGAGGATCCCATGTTCAAGGACGTCCATTTCAACGACCGTCAACGGCAACTGGAGAAGAGCATCTGCAAGTTGCTGGACAGGGCCAAGGCGGCGAGGGAAGCGCCGAACGAAATGGAGTGGGATCGCATCGTGGAGGAAGCCAAGAAGCAGAACAGGCCTCAAGCAGTGACCGGACCGCCGGGCACCGGCAAAACCACCGTGGTCGA